GCGTGCAACCTTGTGGGACCCCCTGCTCAATGTCGAAGAATTTTGACAGTTCTCCGTCTAGCATGACCGCGCTTTTCGTACACTCTGTCATCTTCTTCAGCACTCTCCACATTTTCCCCTTGATCCCGTATTTGGACAGTTGTTTCCACAACCCATTTCTCCACACGGTGTCGTATGCCTTTTTCACGTCCAGGAAGAAGCAGTACGTCGGCTTTCCCGCCCTCTTTCTACCTTGGATGATTCTCCCTACCGTGAACACGTGGTCTACGCACCCCCTCTTCTTGCGGAAACCTGCCTGGCCCTCACTAATGCTATGTCCCTTCTCCAATACTCCCACTATCCTATCGTTCAGCAGCTTACAGAACACTTTTCCTACTGTGTTCAACAGTGTGATCCCCCTGTAGTTTCCTGGGTCAGGGTTATGTGGGGGGGGGGATTTGCCTCCGTTTGCCTGTACGGCGTGATATGCATATGTGCATCGAAAACGAATAAGAATATTAGGTTTGGGGCACAAACGGGTTGCTCCTGTCAATAGCCGACCACGAAAAAAAAATCACACCGAAAGAAGTCGTTAGGCCATTTGTTACGATGTCATTTTTTAGGCCCTCTTTTTTTCAAAAAAGAGACGACCCAAAAATGATCACAAAATGGTAGAAATGGATAATAAACACCTGTGTTGCGACGTCTTTTTCTGAGGGTGGGGTTTCTTGATTTTCACTGGCGTTCGGCGTGCGGGAGCAAACTGATTTGTTAATTTCCGCCTTCACCCACGCCACAGACCGCGCACAGCACGAAACACAACGCCCCTCTGCACCAGCTCCTCTGCACACAGCCACATCCCGTAAAGCAGACCATGGATGCTATGAAACTAGATGGCGTACAGTCTCTCTCGCTGGAGTTCAACTCGTACGCCGAGACAGTGATTCCGATGCTGCGGGACAGGAGCTCCGGCCTGACGGACGCCAAGTTGCTGAAGCACCTCCAGAACGTGTGCATCGTGTACGCGTGCTTGGCGGTCAAGCGCAACGCCGGGATTGTCTCCACACAGGCCAAGCACGCGGCAGCGGCGCAGGGGTACAAGGACATCGCTGTCCCTGGCTTCTTCAAGTGGCTCCAGGAAACCTTGGACAATGAGGATTTCTTCTTGCAGCCGTGGCTCACGTTCGAGGTCATGGGGAAAGCGTCGTTGAAGGAAGGTAAGACACAACCAACGCGGGAGAGAGGCAGGTTTCGAGTGCGAAGACAACCGTCTTGAAGGAGAGGGACTGGGTGCGAGTGTGTACCTGACCCTCTGCGCCTTCATGATGTGCTGTTGAAAATGACATGCTCTACGTAGGGTAAGGGGTATATTGTTGTTGTTTGTTGTTGACTTCACATTAAACCGTATGCCAGTTGCTAAATGCCAAAATCTAGCAAAGACTCTCGGCCCGTGGTCACGAAAGTGCT